ACTCAAAGCTGTGAAGCAAGAGTGTTTGTGTTGCTTGATTAAAAAGCTGTGAAGCATAATCAAGTGTATGTTTTGAAGAGTGTCTTCAACAATTCATTAGTCAAATTGTTTTTATGTATCACTGCTGTGATTGAGGGGGAGTGAGTAGGAACTCAGGTTTAAGTTGTACTTAGATTGAAGTTGCATTGGGTAGGTCTTAAGTGAAGGAGATAAACTGGTTGGTTTATTCCTGAATTGATACCTCTTATAGTGGATTTCCTCCCTGGCTTGGTAGCCCCCAGAGTAGGTGTTGTTGCACACTGAACTGGGTAAACAATTGACTGTGTTCTTTACTGTTTTTATATTTACTGTCTTATAGAACGTCAGATACGGTGTCATAACATTGAACGTGACATTGAGTATCTGTAGCCATAATTTCAAGGCACAAACAATTCTCAGATCAAAAAGGCTATTCCAACAGTTTTTGGTTTATGGTTTTACAATGATGGAATCTGAGAGACTTCGATGGCTAAGAAAAATCAGTCAAAACTAAGAGTAGGAAAGTATCACTATCTCACGGATGCTAGAATAAATAGCCAGACACAAGGTGCAAATACAGGGAAAATGGTTGTCCTATCTTCTTCGTATGCTGGTAGTCGCAGATACATGGATCATTTGTACTTCGATGGCATGGCAATTTGCAGTTATGTTGGATTTCCTTATTTGTTCATTACATTCACATGTAACCCAAACTGGCCGGAATTGCAATGTGTACTAGGTTCTGTTAATCTAAAACCAGTAGATTGTCCATACCTGATAACAAGAATTTTTAAAATGAAATTTGATGAGTTATTGTCAGATTTGAAGAAAAAGAGTGGTATGGGCAAGGTTCTTGCATGTAAGTAATTGTCCATTTTAATTCTTTACTTTCAAATTTCGTTACGCCAGATGTTTGTTATCTAAAAATTCCAATTTTTTGTAGATATGTATACCATTGAGTTTCAGAAAAGAGGCCTACCCCATGCTCACATTTTAATTTTCCTTCATCCATCCAATAAATATCCAACACCAACCGACATTGATGAAACCATATCGGCTAAAATACCAAACAAAGACACTGACGAAGAATTATATAACTTGGTCAAAACTCACATGATTCACGACCCGTGCGAAAATGCAAATCGGTCTTCACCATGTATGAAGGAAGGCAAATATTCAAAATAATTTCCTAAGGACTTCCAATGTGATACAATTGTTGATCAAGATGGATATCTGGTTTATAGAAGAAGGGATCACGGTCATACAATCATTAAGAATGGAATGGAGATTAACAATAGATTTATTGTTACATACAATTCAAAGTTGTTGCTCAAGTATAAAGCTCATATTAACACGGAATGGTGCAATCAAAACACATACATTTAATATTTGTTCAAGTACATCAACAAAGGATATGATAGAATAACTGCTGCCATTGTCATGAATCAAGATGGAACAACTATTGAACATCAAAACATTGATGAGATTAAGCAGTACATTGACTGTAGGTATGTTACTCCAAGTGAGGCATCTTGGAGAATTTATGCCTTCCCAATTCATGGAAGGAAATCGACTGTAGAAATACTTCATTTTCACGGTGAAGGTGAAAATTCAGTTTACTACACTGACATCGATCGTATTACCACCGTTCTTGAGAAGCTGAGTGTTACTGAGTCGATGTTTACATCATGGTTTGAAGCAAACCAAAAGTATCCAGAAGCACAACAACTAACATACATCAATTTTGTTTCGATGTTTGTTTATATTAAAAATAAAAGAGAGTGGAAGCCCCGAAAAAAGGCTATATAATTGGTAGGCTAATATGTGTTCCTCCAACAACCGGTGAATTGTACTATCTTAGAATGATGCTAACACACGTGAAAGGCCCACGTAGTTATGACGAAATAAAGATTGTCAATAACGACAAATACGATACATTTCGGGATGCATGTTTTTCTATGGGGTTTATCGGTGATGATTGAGAATTCATATATTCTATTCAAGAGGCATATCAGTGGGGTTCAAGTCATTATTTGAGATTACTTTTTGTTCATATGTTATTATCAAGTACCATTAACAGGCCAAAGCATGTTTGGAGTGTGACACGACATATTTTGTCTGATGGAATTCTTTTTGCTCAACAGACTATTGCAAACAACAAAGGTAGTCCTTATTTTATAACAACTTCCTAAGAAATATTATAATTAAGAGCTTCCCTTTAATCATTTTGGTCTAATAATCATTTGTTTTAAAATAGGTTTACAGTTGTCATATCAAGAAATCATGAATTTAACATTGATTGAAATTGAGAAACTCCTTCAACAAAATCGCAAGTGTTTAAGTGACCTTCCAGGAATGCCGAAACCACAAGGTTATGTGGTTGAGTAGCTGGGAAATAAGCTTATTTATGAAGAGAGAAACTAAAATCAAGCTGAAAATATTCAAGAATTCAACATGCTATATCAAAATCTCACAGGTCACAACAATATTAACATTCCTGATCCTTGTAAAACATTTATTATATTCTTTATACTAAAAAATTTAACAAAGGAAAATAATCAATATTAGTTTTGCATTTTTATCATCAATATTGTCTTACTATGTTGGTGTATATATTTATATTCAATAAATTATAGATGAGCAAAGAGATGTATTCAAGAAAATCATGCAAGCAGTCAACAACCAGAAGGGAGACGTGTTTTTTTGTATGGATATGACGGCACAGGAAAAACGTATATGTGGAGAACATTAGCTTCTTTCATAAGATCAAGGAAACAAATATGTGTGGCAGTTGCTTCATCAGGTATCACATCCCTTTTACTTCCCGGTGGTCGAACGACACATTCGAAATTCAAGATTCCAATTCCTACACTTGAGTCTTCCAAATGTGATATATGAAAAGGAAGTGACTGCGGTGACCTATTGAAATTATCAAAGTTGATAATATGGGATGAGGCTCTAATGGCTCACAGATTTTGTTTCGAAGTATTGGATAAAACCCTCCGAGACATCATGGGTGCATCCAAGTCATCCTACATAATATTTGGAGGTAAGGTAATTGTTTTTTGTGGCGATTTCTGGGAGTTTCTTCCAGTTATACCAAGAGGAAGCCGTTCAGATATAATTCATGCCAAAATCAATTCATAATACATATGGGATCATTGTGTAGTTTTGAAACTTAGAAAGAACATGAGACTTCAACAGTCTGTAATGAACACAAGTCCTTCTAAGTTAGAACAATTTTCAAACTGGATATTTATCACATATTTTGATGATCCACTAGAAGCAATCTTTCAAAACATGTATCCAATTTTTGCTGTTAATTACAACAACGAAACAGTTTTGCAATCAAGGGCAATATTGGCTGGAACCATTGAGACAGTTGATCTATTAAATCAATATGTATTAGAATTTCTTCCAAGTAAGAACTATAAAGTCAATTTTTTTCTTTGTTACGTATTTGACATTATTTAATCTTTTTATATAAAGAAACATTCAAAACTTTGTAGGGGAACAAAAGGAATATCTATCTTTTGATTCGGTTGAAACACTTGATGGTGATGGGAACGAAGCGTTATATTTTGACTCCATAATTTTTGAATGCACTTAGAACTTCTGGTCTTCCTAATCACAAGATTATATTGAAGATTGGTACTATAATAATGCTTCTTAGAAATATTGATCAAGCAGAAGGTTTGTGCAATGGAACACGACTAATTGTCATAAGAATAACAGACCATGTTATCGAAGCAAAAATTATTTTAGGAAAGAACATCAGAGGTGTTGTCTATATTGCAAGAATGGACATTACTCCTACTCAGTCCTTATGGCCCTTCAAGATGACAAAAAGGCAGTTTCTTATAACTGTCTGCTATTCTATGACGGTTAAAAAGTCTCAAGGTCAGTAATTGGATCATGTCGATATATATTTGTCGAGGAACGTCTTCAGTCACGATCAATTATATGTCGTAGTTTCAAGAATAAAGAGCAAAAAAAGGTCTTAAGATACTGATTCATGACAAAGATAACAAACCTTTGCCGACAACAACAAATGTTGTTTTCAAAGAGGTTTTTGAAAACTTATAGAATGTATCTGTTTTTCAATGTCAGTTTCATATACCAAAGTCTATTCACTTACGATTACACTATTGTTAAACATGTGTAACAATGTTCAATTTTCCTTATCTGTTTTTGTATTTCTGTTAGACTGATATTTAAAGAACATAATATCAAGGCATATTTTGAATGTCATGAACACCATTTATGACATTATTCATTTTGTATTATACTTTATGCATGTTTATACTTTGATAATTACATTCCATGATATGTATGTTCACATTGATGAAATGATTCCTGCAGTGAGCAAAAACTGATATAATCCAAACATCAAAGTCGATCAACAACTTCGACGTAAACATACAGATCACCATTTATATAAGGATTATAAATTCTACTTTTTTGAATTTTAGTATTTGTACCCTCATTTTGTGTTTACTATTCAGATACGCCTAAATTCATGTCATTTAGTCGAAGGTGTGATATATGTAATCGCTCCAACAATTCGTAAACTGATACGTTGCAAAATCAAGAAAATAACAATAACTTAAACATAATCATACATTAAGTTGATATTCTGCATAAATACACATACATAGACCATTAATGAAATTACGAAGTGTTTAAACAACATGGGGGATCATTATTCAGAACACAAGGATAGTCACAAAACATCAATACAAACAATAACTTGATTACTAACTGATATTCCTCTTATCAACAACATCAACAGTGATTCACTAAAAACACATACATTAGATCTGAAAGTGGAATCATGGAAAACTCCAACACATCTCCTTCTTGAAGCTTTTTTTCTTTTTCAAATTCGTACCATTCATGCCCAATATGTTATTCATAGTCATCCCGTCCAGCTCTCTTAATGACACAGTGATACCCTTCTTCATCAATCAGATCTACCATCTTTATTTCATTTTTCTTTTTACAAAACATGTCCTTGATATATCCATTGGAATATACTGAAATGTGTTACGCAGGCATTTATCAATTTGAAACATAAAGAAGTTAAAAATTAGATGAAATATATATGATTCATGGATATACCAGGGAATTTTGCCTGTACATGTTTGCTTTGGTTACAGTCGACCTCCATGATACCTCACCGCTATCATCAGTCGTTTTGTATTCCTCAGTAAGAAACCCTTCTCTTATGAGTTTTTCATAGATCTTATCTTCCTCTTCATCGAACTCTTTTTGGATCGTGCGTACCCATTCTATCGAGTCTCTCTCAGGATCACTGGAACATTAGTAACAAAATAAGCATGTATGATAAAAGGAAATTAAATTTTATATCAAGCAAGTATTTAAAATGCCTAGAAAACAAAATATTTCCCCAGATCTATCAGTGACATAATATGTTTGTAAGATGTTTTCTCCAATTGCATGCATAACTACATACATGTTGGAAGGAAAAGGAACAAAGGGTACCACAAACTTCACCATCTCCACAGTTCAATTGAGAATGTAATTGAGTCTGCACACTTAATACTCAACATATATACATGAAGTTACATATATTGATATTGGGCCTACCGATTTTGAGCCTATAATTCATATGGTGCAATATCCTAAATATGTCAATTTTAAATAATATATACACAAATAATTGTCATTAAATAACACTTAATTTAAAATATTTGTGAGTTAGTCCTATTATCTTATTAAAAAAGTAAATATAACATAGTGCTCTCTTTACTGTTTCTAATATATAAACATGTAAATTAATGTAAACTATTATATGATTTGCTTGATAACCACTTTAAACAAAAATATATTTACACACACTTGATGCAATGTATTATACATCAAAACTATTATCAAATACATTAAAGAAATATCAAAAACACAGATGTTGCAAATCAAAGATGTTCTTTAAACAAAGATATCAAAAACATCCAATTTTCATTAACATTGTTCTAAATGAAATTGCTTTTTCAAATCCAACCAATTCGCTTTACACAACTCCATCACAAAACGGGAATAATGCTTTTTGAAACAAAATCACAATGGAGATATGCATACCTATAACTCAGTTTGGACATCAAGTATGAATAATATATTATGCAATGCTTAAATTGTTTGAAATCTACAACTACAACATTATAAATCATAACCATAACATCCATTACACATTATATATAACTCCGAGGTAATGTTCATCTTACATAACTTCAAATATAATAACCCAAAATACTTATATGGCAACAAGGAACATCATTAGTTTCACAATAATTTAATCAATGTTATATTCATAGTCTATTTTTTTCATCTCAAATTAGAACGATTCTAACAACACAAACATAACTTCACGACAAAATAAGGGTTTCCCGGCATTAAATATGAACAAAATATTGAAACATGGACATGTCCCAACATTTATTCATACTGAGTTTAATATTGATGAAATATCTGTGTTGGCCCTCTTTCATCAGTAGCACAAAATAATTTATGAACAATCTTACTTTCATATTAGTTTGCCTGATATGGAAGTCATCAATTTTATGCACTAAGTGCACTGTAGAGCTGGCCTATTCATTCATCTTTGTTTCATATACAATTATATCAGTTATTAATATGTATTTTGTGTTATTAATTCATCTTGTTTATTGATATTGCACTGCATGCATATGGTTTTATTTAACATTCACCTTAGTCTAATTTGGCGTTAATAAATGTATTTTGAATGCAATATGTACTGACTTGGAACACTTGTTATTTTAGTATAACTCATTATTGATTTTGATTTATTTTGTTATTTATGTTTCTGTTGGTTCCTGTTTTTTTCTCTCTTTAGATGATTGTTTGGGTCCATATCTAGTGAATTTTATGAAGTTTAAAAACTTCAATAACTGTATCTTAATTTCTTTATAATTTTAAGCCTTTATCTTAGTAGTTTTCTTTAAATCCATACATGTGATAAAATTTTCAGCCATTGTTGTAACAGTATCTTTTTAAATAGAAAAACTCATTTTTTGTATAATTTGCAGTCATCAATGTAGGTTATGGTGGTAACATTTTTAAGCAGCGTCTCTTGAATATGGTACGCTAAGGAGGTAATATTTCAGAGGAAGACACTGAGAAGGGATACCAACGCTCTTGTGAGTTGTGGTTTTGAACAAACTAATCTTGCCTCTTACATTCATTATTAGCAATTCTTTTATGACGTGAATACTTCCAAATAAATAGGTGTTTCTCTTGATTCCATATTTTGTATCACTTTTCATTTGAATGGATTTTGTGTTTGTATACTATTATGTTTACATTTTAAGATGTTTGTATTTTTATTTTTTTTATAAAAAATCATTTTGCAGGGGGTTTCAACCTCCGTATGTTAACCTTCTCTATTTGACCATGATACCACCTGTCTCTTGGAATCCCCACGAATATATTGTTGGAATCGAATAATCGGGAGTCTTCAAAACTCTCGCAAAACAATTTTGTGGAGGTTGAAAACCCCACAAAATACTTTTAAAACCCCCGCTAGACAAACACATTTTTGTAATAATATTCTACATGTTTTTATTATCAATGTTTGATTGTTACGACAAGAGTACCACTATCAATTAATATAGGTGTCCAAAGATTCATATTGATGGTGCACTAGGTATCTTGAGATGAGTTACGTCTTTATTTGAACAAATTGATAATACATTTTTTTATGTGAGTATATTTGAAATGTTTAATTTTGTTCTTATTTTTCACCTATAATTGCTTCAATATCTGCTAATTTGAATTCAGTTTTGGTTTTTATTGGGGAAAATCGCATAAATTATGGTTTGGTCAGTTCTGGGATCAATTTAACTATAGTACCTGGAAACACTTGGTGGTTAGACTCTCGTACAACTACTAACATCGGTGTTTCAATAAATGGTTGCCTAAACTACCGAAAGCCAAATAATGTTGAAAGATATATCTATGTGGAAGATGGCAAGTCGGTGGAGTGGAAGTTATATGACATTTTAGATTATTACAGTGTACTGGGTTTTATTTGAATTTGAAAGACACTTTTGTAGTTCCGTCATTTAGACCAAATTTAATTTTGGTTTCTTATTTGGACAAACCAGGTTATTCTTATTTATTTGGAAAGAATATGTTCAAGTTGTCTTTTAATTCAAATATTGTTGGAACTGGTTTACTTATGGGTCATGATAATCTATATTTGCTTGACACAATAGTTGTCTATGGTGAATCCTTGAATGTGGAATCAGGTGGTACTAAGCGTAAAATTGATGATAACAATTCAATAGTGTGATACGGTGGCAGAATCGACTGGTTTTACTGGTTTGCGTTTTGCGCTTTTTGTTCGCAAAATATCGCGGTAAGCAAGAGTCGCCACCGAATTTTATTTTATCCAATCAGGAAAAGGAAAAAGAACAGAAAAAACCTTTTTTGAGATATTCTGAGTACGGAAAGGTGTTAGCACCCTTTCTATCCGTAGTTATCTACGGGCTCTTAGGTACTTGCTCATTTTTCAATTTGCTTGTGTATGTTTGTCTTGAAAATATTTTACTTCGTGATAACTCTTGTATCAGTCTTCAAGGATGTGACGAAGTTTATTTTGAAAATTGTAATGAAAGGTGTTTGTGTGAAAAGTTTTTATTGAGCAAGTACTTAAGATTCTACCTACTCGAAAAAAGATTGTTTGTTCTTGTTTCCTTTAGATAGCGCTATCCTACTATTAAGGAGTAGGTAACACCGTCGTTGGAGTTGTAAGGGACATTCGAAAGGGACAAGTACAATCACTAAAGCAATAGTTAGAAAACTTTAGTAGTAACCATAGAGTCTTAAGATCTTTCCGAGGCAACATTTCCGAGGCAACATTCGAATGGGACATTTTGATCTCTTAGACAGGAGGACGACCACTAAAATCTTCTATGCTTAATGATTGTTTACCGAAGGCAACCGAAGTGAGGTAAACCCTAGGAGTGAATATGTGCATATGATTTGTTTCAGTTATTTAATCTTTGCACATTAGGTTATCTACCGTTTTAATTTCAGATATTCTTGCCATACAATCCTATTTAGCATACATCTAGACAATTAAATATTTGCAGGAATTTAAAATTGCGAAAAAATAAACCTAACTATTACAAGGCTTCGGGGGATGGGGATTAATTACATAACCAAAAATTGGGGATTAAAGCAGTAAATAAAACTCTAATTTAACTATTATAAACCATTGGCAGTTACAAAAATAATGGAAAAGAAACGATTAAATGCGCGGTGAATTAAATACGAGGAGAAATTAAAAACCCTAAAATCTAATTGAGAAATAATTAAGTTATTTTTGAGAAAAGAATTGATTGAGTTATGTACGACTAAAACCCTAATTCTAATTATTTTAATTATGAAAAAGAAATTGAAATTAACCTAATCTAGCTAAATTAAATAATTTCGAGAAAATAAAATTTTTTGTACAAAAAGATTTTGTGTATTTTTTGGTTTTTTATTTGATAAAAGAAATGTAATTGCACATTAATTAAAAACCCTAATTTCTAATTGCTTTTAATTATAAAAAAGAAATTAAATTAACCTATATTTCTAATTAAATTAAAATAAATATTTTATTAAAAAAATGCTTTTTTTGGTGTTTTGTGATTTATTGATTTTATGATTAATAAAAAAGGGTAATTAATTTGGTGAAAAATAATTAAACAAAATAATTAAAATAAAAGAAATAAATAAAGAAAAAGAGAATGGGCTTGTGTTGAATAGCAATTCTGGGGGGTGCCAATCTGAGTTTTCTAAGGCCCAAAACGCTTCAAGCTCGGTCAGCCTTTGGATGCCTTGCAGCATTGACTTGAGGGCATATCATAGGCCCTCACTGCTAGAGCGTTGGATCTGATAGGCCTGCTTGATCAAACGGTTGGACTCAAGGGTGTATGCTATTCTCCAGGACAAGTAATGCGCTATATCTGTTGAAAGAAAATAACATAAAGAGAATTGTTGGGACCTAGGGTCGAACCCAGGTCCTTATGATCAATACCAACGTCTCATTGCCAGCTGTGCTACGCGCTTTAGTTGTTAGTATAATAACAATGATATATAATATATGAAAACAACGTGGATTACTGGATTAAAACAAAAGCGCGCATTTTATTTGAATGACCCAATGATGGTTGAACACATCATCATCTTCTTCCTCCTCCGTCGTATTAGGTATATACTTTTTACCTACAGTCACATGTCTCTAGCCATAGCCCCTGCAAATTTCCAAAATGCACAAGACACATGATAAATGATATCTAACTATATAGATCCATTCGTTTTGATCTCGTGAACATCATGGTACCCTTCTTTTTGGCTAATTTCACCTGTGGACAAAACCCCTAAATTACACATATAAACACTAACAATGGCAAAGGCACGTACAGGCTTCAAAAATGCAATTAAATTATCCAGTTAGCTTGCAAACACGATGAGGATCACAAATATATAACTTA